TCCCAGTTTATACCGGCTCGTCAGTTCCCGGTGAAAAAAGAATTGGCTGGCGCCCGCCTGGCTTGCGGATGCACGAACGACGGGTGGACGGCCGAAGGTAACGTAGGTTGGTTCTCGAAGATAATCGTTCCCGTATGTTTTGCTATCGGTGTCGGGTCAAGTTAAAAAATTACGTTACAATACACTCACTTGCAATTCCAATCTTGCAGGTATTTTGCATTCAGTCTCATCCCAGCTGAATAAACTTTCTTTACGATTGATCACAATTTTTTCCTCAGCCACCAGATAATCAAAAGGAAATATAAATCTCCAATTAAAATTACCCTCCCCCGTTAACGATCGATAATGTATATCAGTGCATTGACAGTCTTCGGGCCCCTTCAACCAGCTGTAACGATCAAATATTATTATTATATATTTTTTAATCGATTGACCTATCGATTTTATAAATTACCCCTTGACATAAATATCGCTCATTTTTTCTCCAGTAAAAAATGCATCGTCCTCCAAGACAACGTCGTCGGTATTCCAAATGACAATTCTTAATTCATAACTTTTTGGCTTTCTAGGTGAAATATCGATCGGCGGTCCCGGCAACGGCATGTCCATTGGAAACATGTCCACCCACATTTCTAATTTCCCTTGTTCGATTCCAGGCTTGTCTGGATTATAAAGTGGCCGCGTCTCCACGTGTTCAGGAACCAGCGCAGAGCCAATACGTGGAAAGAAATTCCATTGATGCAAAACAGCAAGAGCCAAGTGTTCCTCCATTCCTAAAAAAAAAGGTCAGATAAAATTTTTCAAAATTATTCATTGACAATACATGCCTCTGGAATGTACGTAATACTCCATCTCCTCATTGGTCAATGAAAATGTTTTTCGACCAATGGAAACCCGTCCATTTGAATATACCGGTCCATCGATTTTTCCATCTTTACATAATTTTGTCAAAATCTGACTGGGCTTCATAGCGTCCCTCCATTTGTTGTAGCCAGTCCTAAGAAATGATAATTGTGCAAAATCAAAATTGCTAAAATTTGTTTGTCTTATTCCAATTATAATCAAAATTAATTACTCATCGTATCTTTTAGCAAGACCACAAGTAGCGCGATGTCGGCTGTAGAAGCGATTCTCCAAATCGATCTTGGTCTCACCAATGAGGTCATCAGCTCCGACCAGGTCCCAGTCCAAGACCTGAACAGTCAGTAAAGAGTCCTGTGGGAATGTAGCTTCAATTTCAAAGCACTTGCCAAACACAGGATTCAATTGTTTGGATATATAATTATCTTTGTCGCTAATTCGTTTGCCACCCAGTTGTAGGACCACATAAGGATCAGCCTTGCCGTTGAGGTCGCACGGATGAAGATCATTAGCCTTGACGATATAGACCCTGACCAGCACGTGAATTGGCTCGTTGGATGGTACTCCTTGAAAGAATCCATACTGAGGATCGAACCCCATGACAGTATGATCTGTCAGATCCTTAGGTAGCGGCCATTTGTAAACCTTAAGGGCGCCTTTGAAACTACCGACAATCCTGGATTCGTCTTCCGGTTCGTCGTCGGTCTTCTTACCGCGATACAATTCAAAGGTATGCAACCATTCTTTAAAAGACTCGTATTCAGGCTGAGACTCAAGTTCGTTGGGATAAATTTTCAAAAGAGCCGTTTTTTGAGTACTCTTCGCACGTGGAATATTTTTTGGACTCAACTTGGCCACAAATTTGGCAGCAGTACCAGGGCTCTTCAAGCCAAATAGTTTCTTCGTGGATTGCATCCCAGGACTCTTCTCGATAGATCCATGAACGTGCCCCGGTGCAAGCTCATCGTCCAGGTAAAACGGTACGGTGCAGTTTTGTTGATTTTGAAAAAATTTTTCTTTTCGAATTTCTTTGTTCTCCTCGATCATCGCTTCTACGGATGCGAAATATTTTGTCCACCAATCCTGACAACCCTCCTCGTCCTCGAATGATCCCAGGTCACCTGTTGGTTGATAAGGAGTCAATTTTATTGATTATATTTTTTTTCTTTCTTTCTTTCCTACCTATACTTCCTCCTTGTACCAGACTCTCTTTCCGCCTTAAGTTTTGCTCGGTTTTGTCCCTTTTCGTTGGCCAGCCTACTTGCTCGAAACCTAGTGTGATTATTGTGTCCCCGTTGGTCGATTCCAAATCCGTTAACGAATCTGGTAGCGAACTATGCTGATATTTTATCTTTGGATTTTCAATGGAGCCGCATTGTAACTGATAGAGACTCTTCTTCCTCTCCTCCGCTTCCCTCGCTCGCTTTGTTTGCGGGTAATACATATATTTGTGAATCGAATTTATTGTGTGCGTACCAACTAGGGTGTATCTGCCAAAACTACGGCAATCTACTGCCCTGATTGTCAATGGCGGACGATATAGCTCCTGCTCGGGTAGTTCAACTTCTAGGAATTTAATGGGTGTATTGAAATTTGGATTTTTTTTTGCGTTCGATATAACCGATGAATACAAAATATGCCCGGCACATTCAACGTCGACTCTTGGTTTGTCAACGGTTAGTAGATGGACTCTTTTGAGATCCCTTAAACCCCAAAAGAGTACTTCGATTCTGAAAATTTTGAAAATATTAATTTTTGATTAATGTTTTTTTTTTCACGATTTTTTCCAAAATTTTTTTTTACCGATATTTTGACAGGGTTGGCCGTATTCCTACTGGTACCGGTAATATCGGACCTTGATCTTGTTCGAGTCCATTTAAGATTTGATATTCTTTGTCTTTTGGATCCGGAAGCGTTGGAAACACGAAATCCTTCGTGGTCGAATATTCGAGCAATTCGAAAGCTGCTAAAAGTTCGCCTGCTCTCGCTGCACCTCGTGAAATTTCGTACCATTCCAGTGATGGTGGAAACTGTGGCGGCGTGTAGGGTTCTCCAGCAAGTTTCACATGCGGTTTTGCTATAGCACGACCTATGTATTCGGACTTGCCCTGTAATTCGGGAAATGGTATAGGACGTAGGAAAATTATTTTTTGCAGTTTGTCGGAAAAAAAAAAGAAAAAAATTTCTGTTACGGATCGATACTTTTATTTACCGTAATTAACTCTCGCGCGTGTAGCCATATACAGGGTGTCCCGGAACATGCGCATTTGATAGGTACGATTCTACCGTATTTCATCAGTTTCCATTTTTACGGTGAAAAATTAAAAATCATAAATAAAAAAAGTCAAATATCTCCGTATTCAATTCTCAAAATAAAAAATGCCTAATGTAAGTATATATTCAATTTTTTACAAAAAATTCAATTTCGTTATTCCCATGCGGTCGTTTCAGGACACTCTATACAGATGTATACATTGGTATACATCGCAATAATTTTTATCAATAATCGTTATTTCTTTATAGCAACATTTGTTTTTACTATTTTTCACGAAATTTACTGTATATCGAAAGTCACCCCTTAATAATAAATATAAACCTGTAAATAATATATATTTTTTTCCAATAACAGCGCAATTCTCAACCGGAAATTATTTTCTAAAAATAAATCTTATATTTCCGACAAAGCTGCGTTATACAGCTTTCATTATCGATCGTATGAGTTTCTACGTGCGATTGTGAAAGTCGTGCTTAGAAATTTGTGATAACAGTACCTACATAATACTGACGGGGTGTGTATGTAGTGCAAAGCGTGTTAATATATACAAGGAATGTGAAACAGCAGGAAATCAAGAGTGCATTGGATAAAAATAATCGGATATTATACAATTATTTTTTTTTCTTTTTCTTTTCGTTTAATCAAGTATACAAACTGTTAAAGCAGAGCCCTCATCATGCAGTGTTATGTCCATAGCTTACAATACGACTCTGTAAAAAAAATTAGAAAAACCACGTGTAAATGAAATGCGACTGACAACGTCAACGTATTTAATAATATTCTGTCATTTGACATAAGCATTATACGTCTCATGAGTTTCTTCGAAAATCCGCCCAGATGGCAGCACAGGTACTCGAATAAAATAATGCAGATATATCACGTACTAAAATTTTCTCACCACTTTATCCTGATCGAACAATTCAATGACGATCGATGGTGGATCCTTCTTGATCTCCTCAGCAGTCCCATAGATCAATATGTCATCGAATAATAATAATTCGTCCCAAGTTGGACTCAAAGTTTCGTCAATGACCTGAGTCAATTTACAAAATTCCCCACACACGACTCTGGCGAATGGATCAGACAAACCGGAAGCGTCACTTCCGATCAATGATCTTGCCTGATACATGTGGGCTCTTAATTGAAATTTCTGGAAAAAAAATCGGTTTTTTCTTTTTTTAGAAAAATTTTTTTCTTCGACTCACGTGTTTTTGAACGTAATGGATAATCGATGGCGGCAGTGCACGTGGTCTGTCCACGTTTCTTATCTCGTGGCTTATCTCGTATCCGGATGGTAAACCCTGGATAAAATATTTCTTGTGCTTAAGTATACCAAGCCACATATAAATCTGTAGCTTCGTCTGGATGGTCCAGCCGGATGGACCAAATCTCTTCTTTCCTGGTAACTGAAAAAAATTCACTTAGGCTGTTTGCATAATCTTATAAAAAATTTGTTATTGTATATAAATTGAAAATTTTATGCCCATCTACCTTGAGAAACATGGTCTGAACTTTTGCACAGTGTTTTCCGCATTCTTCGTCGACTATCGAGTAAATGAGATCTCTGCTAGGGATTCTGTGATAAGCCACGCGTCTACCGGAACTGATAACCCAAATAAATACATCCGGTAACGAGTCTTGAGGCTGTAGAAGGGTTTTACGTATTTAAAAAAAAAAAATTTACATTTTTGGCTCAAATTTTTTTTTATGATTTTAAATTAACAAAATTCATCTCGTATCAGATACTAACATCCTCCACCAAAAATTTCAATTTCTGTAAGTAACTCTGGGTGGTTTTCAATCTCTCCTTGAAGCTGCTCCTTGTGACAAGTGCCTTAAGGTTTCTCGACATGGTAGCCAAATTCTCTAGTTCTCTTTGACACAGCTTTGTACGTTCCTTGTCCAGCTTCGTTTTACCGACTCCTGGACCAGTCGTACTGGACTTGCTGATACTTACGTAACGATTGCAATTGCTACTCAATTCCTCCAAAACGGATTTCAACAGTTTTTCACCATTCAAACTCTCCGCGTGGGATTGAACGTCGGACAACCCTTCCTCCTGAAAAATTTTTTCACTTTAAAAAATGAAAAATTTTTTCATTTTATAAAAATTTTGAAAAAAAAATTTATAAAATAAATTAAGAGCGTTAATTTATAGTTTTTTTTTTCTTTTTTGGTACCAATTTGTCTATGATTTTTCCAATGATATTACTGTTGTACATTCGCCTTCTGTAATCAGGCCAGATACTTCTCACGTGAAGACAGGGTTTGTCATCCCAATATGGTAAAAAATAATATATTCTGTCGTGAGTCATTGGTTTACTAGGGGGTGTGGTACTCTGCCAGGATCCCGTTAAAACTTCCTGTAGATCATCTTCCTCCCCACTTCCGGTACCGCCTGAGCTCAATTCGCAGACCTGAGAAAAGAAAAGCGGAATTGTTGTCTATTGTGCTCGAAGAATACCAGATAATAGAACGCAGATAACCCGTGGAAAATTCCAGGATCCCTCGTTAAAGTGACAGCAAAATTTGGTATCAAAATGAAATTCCATTCAAGGTAACGCTAAGATAAAATACATAAAAAAATACTGGACAATTTTTCTTTTTGAAAAAAAAAAAGTTTTTTCTTTCCAACTTCATCACGCAAACTCACCTTAGAACTTTCGTTATGTCCATCCAAAGCGTTTCCAGCATTGCCAATGGAAATTTCAAAATACATAGGCTTATCACCCAATTTCTTATCAATCATTGTAGCGTCCATTATGGTTGCAAATAAAAAAAATTCATCGTTCCGTGCATACGACGTTTCCGTTATCGGCATCGTAGGCTCCACTTCAACTTCAGAAGGCGCCATATCTATGTTATCGCTGATCTCAGTCCTTATCGCTATCAGTAATCTTAGGAAAAAAAAATTTCAAAAAATTGTAATAAAATTCAAAAAGTTTTTTTGAATTTTCTTCTCAAAAAATACCTTGCTCTGTATGAAATTCCTTCGCCGAGTCCCGCATTGAGGGTGGAATGTTCGTCTATAATACTGTAGTCACGGATGCTGCCGTAAAGATGAATAAAGGCTGGACCAAAAGTGGGCAAAAATCCTTTTTCGCCGTCATTGCTGATTTGCTTCAGATCAACGAAATGGGTACCGATGACAGTGGCGTGGACAGGATCGTTATCGCATAATTGAATTTTGATCCTTTGACAGAGGGGAGGAAACATTTCTGTAAAAACAATCTGTTCGTTCCATACGGGTGCGTAGCTATGTCTCTTGACGCTTGTTTTGCCCTGAATAAGATGGAAAAAAAATAAATTTTTTTTTGAGTGAATCAAAAAAATTTTTTTTCATTATATTCATCCTTACGCTCAATCCTGCAAAGGACACTTGGACGTAAGGATCGACCAGATCCTTTACTTCACCGGTAAATGCTTTCTTCACGTTCGCCATTATACTGCTATTCATTTTTGGCAAACCGTCCGCCCTGTAGATTTTTACCACGAATCGAGCCCTTTGTCGCTCAATGGGAACGCCGTCCGGTAGCAACAAATTCCCTTCAATATCATCCTCGTCCTTTTCACTTTTTGGGGGTATCTTCACTGAGTCACCCTTGCCGATAACACTGATATCACACTTTAGGTAACCCTTGGGGCCTCCTGCTACGTCATCTGGGTCCGTCAGTAAGGCCCATTTATGATAGAATTGATGATCTGCGCGTATGGATAAGATTTTTTTTGAGATTTTTTCCGACCAAAATACGATTTTAGGATATTAGTTTTTTTTTTCGTTATAAATTACGTGGTTTTCCAAGCGTTGTGCGAAATTAAAATTTTTTTTTTTTCAAAATCGCGAATTTGAAATTCAGTTGATTTACAAACACTTTTATAAAGTTGACAGTGTTGTCTGTACTAATTATTTTATGAATTTGTCAGGCAATTTTTTTTAAATCTAAAAATCTCGAGGTGTCTGTTTTAAATTTCGTTTTTTTACTTAATATCTCGAAAACACTCAAATTCATGATAAGACTAAGGTCTTTCACGTATCGCGAGAACGTGCACAGCATGCTGGATGATACTTTGCGAAACTTAGGGGTTGATATTAGGGTGGATTTGCATGAAGTATATTAACATAGTACAATTCTCGTACGCGCAGCATCATTTTTCCTGGACCTTTTTAACCCATTTCGTTTTACTACCGTCTCCCATTTACCCTTGATTTTATTGTTTCATTAACCTTGATCTTCACGAGAACATCCTAACGTATTTTCCACGAAAATAAAATAAAAGAGATCGCAGGTAGTAAACCGTAGAAAGTAAAGAAAGTTCAGGGTGAAAATATCCTTAGAAAAGATTTGATCCGATTTTATATTCTAAAATAAGAATACGGTGTCTTGAAACTCTTTTTAAATTATTCCGAAAGACTTTACGAAGATATTTTGTACGAAGGCAAAATTAAATAAACAAATGGCAAAAGCATGCACCGATTACGAGGAGACTTAAAAAGGAGAAAAGTAAAATTAATGATGTTATTAAGGTTAAATATTATATAGGTTAATACCTGGCTGCGCCCAGACCGTCGCGACGTCTAATTTAAAGCTGCCCAGTGTTAGATTAGCACGCAACAGATTCCGCGATTGCTGTACCTGTGTACGACCATAAGGTTTATTGGTAAGTTTTTGCGACATATTTTTTGGATTTTATTTTCATAATTTTTCTTTTTTTTTCTTCTTTATTTTTCTTTTCTTTAATAAAACCTCCAACCCACATTACTTTATATCGTAATAACTTCCCTAATCGTTATGGAACTTCCGTCTAATGGTATTTGCTCATTTTTGTCCTTCCTACTAAAAAAAATGCTTTTTCACAAAGTTTTCTCATCTGATAGTCGCTCGGTGTAAATGGCTGTCCGGAACTGAATTTGCGGAGTTGGGCAAAATCGAGTGAATATTTTATTTAACTCCCATCGGTGACTTCGACTCGATTCGAAAGTTCACAGGTTTCTGGGGTTCGGTGAATTATTTTTGAAATCCCGGAAATTGGTATTTTTTGCTAATTTTTGTTAAGGTTTTTTTTTTGAAGGCTAATTTTACTTTAAAGCTAAAATAGTGTTATTTTCATTGATAATATCGCAAATTTGGTTCAATTCGTGCTTGAGGTGATTAGACGTTTAGCGTTGGTGATTAGCGTTTCGGTATGTGGATGAATATTAATTTGTAATTTTGAAAATATTTTTTTTCAACTGTTCGTATATCAACCCATAAAATCAATAGCGACACCGTGGAAACGTGTAATTTTTTTAAGAGTAAAAGAGCTAAAAACAATTTTTATTAATTATGATTCAGACGATTCAAAATGCAATTCTAAGAGCTTTCATATTTCTCAAGTAAGTTTTGAGGGGTGAAAGGGAGTGAAGGGTGAAAAAATTAAGGGTTGAAAAATAGCTAAAAAACCTTTTGCTTAATTTCTTGCAATCTAGCCTTATTAACTTAATGCCCGTGAATATGCATAGCGCGAATTCTGCATCTCGTTACTTTCAATTTTCCAGCTACACGTGGCCGTCAGACTTGATCCGGCGCTTTAATTGTAAATAAGACGAATTACGTAACTACGTGGCATTTCTTGGGGTACGACGTTAAACGCAGCGATACACTGATCAAACTCAAAATTGATTACCGCTAATCGCGCTTCGATCGTCGAACGATGTTACGATAATTTTTTAAGATATTTCAATCGACGACTGATAACTGTTATCAGTAAAATGTCCTAAATTTTTGTCATCTTTACAGCCACTTGAAATATTAAGTATCTTGCTGCACGATAAATTTGTCAAAATTTTTGTAAAATTATGATTTTTCAAAATTATACACAATCCGTTTTCACTTACCGAGAGAGTGATGATCTTGTCGAAGAGCATCACAGGCGGCATGTGAAAATCAAAAACGAAGTACTGAAAGAAAAAATTGTCTATACCTCAGTATTGACTAATAATTTTATAAGAATTTTTAAAAATATTAATTATTAATTTTTTAATTACCTCATTATAATATGGACAATTCGTCGATTCCTTAACGCTCGTATATTTTTTCTGATCGCCCACCTGTACGCATACAACCGGATCCATATTCAGTCCGGCCAACTGTCTGGCTTCGATTATGGTCACGCACACTTGGTAATCCTGAGCCTTCAAAGCACCCTGACCAACATCCCCACTCTGTACAGTAGAGATAATTCGATAAAATTTCCAAAATCCCACTTTCCTAATTACATGTAAATCGAAACGAAATTCATAATCATTACAATGACAATAATCACAATAATAATCCCCATCTTGATAATCATGACGTTAATAATTTTCAAAATGATAATCACAAGCGATATACCTTAGGTTTAATTTTCCTAGTAACTTTCACAACATTCTCTTCGTCCTGAACGTCGCCGCTCTTATGACTCTCGTTGTCCGAGTTGTTGGTCTCCAGTGACGTCATCGAATTAGTTCTAGAAGGTTCGTTCGACGAAGCATAGCTGGAGTCGCGTCTGTCCAAGAGTTCGCGGGTCTCCGAACTGGAGTCGCAGGATTTTTCCCTGGGCGGCCTCTGCTTCCCGAGTCTCATCAAGGACCTCATGCTTTTGAGAGTTGAGCTCCTTTTGCGATAAAAAATTTTGAAGTAGTCAATTATTTTCTCCTCGCCCAAATTTAACCATGGCAAGTTAATTCATTTATTTTCTGATAAACTGCCACCAGTCCTCATCAGAAATTCCAATCGTACCCCTGGCTAATTGCAGCTAAAGGTCTCGTACTAGCTACAAACCCTTATCAAAATTACAGACCCAAAATGGCATCGCTGGGATAAATCAACCGGTACGTAGAAAAAGGTAATTGCTCCAATCGAACAACCTCACGACATATTTTCGACCAAGACCATCAAGGTGAAGATATAATTCCAAAATGCAAAATATCATCGCCGGGATAAATCACCTGGTACGTAGAAAGAGGTAATTGCTCCAATCGAACAACCTCACGATATATTTTCGCCCTGGAGCTTCAAGGTAAAGATGTAAGTACCCCTGACTGCCCTAATGGTCATTAGGGTGGAGCCTGGAAAAAAGGTCAATGACCTCGCGAAATATTAAATTCATCTTTATCTTGTCTGACCTCGTACTAGGATATCTACTTAGGAGCTGATCTGACTTAGGGAAATTTCGTTAGGGGTTGAAACGCATAACTAATTACCTACACTTGGATATTGCCTTTATATATTTACCTATTCCTATTTACACCTATGTACCTGACTATGTACTCTTTACACGAGTCAAATATATATACATATATACATTGGAGCCTATTAAATCCCACGTGATTCGAAAATAACGAGTAATAGCATAGCAACCCCTGCTTATCTTTAATTTTTCAAAGTTCTGCTATGGTCGATAACGACCCTAAATCGATTATATATATTTGGTGGTATTTTTGTGGATTCATCCTAAATTTTTGATACCACCTCTATGAATCCCACGTGGTCATTTTAATTGACAATTGAATTGTATATTTTATTACTGTTAATGGCAGTATCCGTTATTCTCGTTTGGAAGGATTAAGGGTGAATAATCGGAAGTGACGTCATCGGCAATTTGTCAAATTGGATAGCTGGACTTTAATCAACCGGACAGTGGATTTTCATCAGACCCATGCTGTTTCGTATTGTCGATCCTGGATCGTCCCTTATAGCAACGAATAAGGGCCGACGATAAATAATTTCCGCAACTGGCATGCAGTTGCCGTAATAGCCAATTGCAAATCGAGTGCAGTTTTCAAATTGAAGAATAATTGCAACACATGCAGGAAATGGAACAGCCAGCTGCGCTAATTGATCAGTTTTTCTTTTTAATCAATAATCCATAATCGCCATATATATCGATCAGAAATTCAAAAATCACCAATCAATACGTACCAAAGAAGCAGAAATATAAAAAAAAGGTTTCTCAATGAATACTTTTTTACATTATTTTCATATAATTACATTTAACTGATAGAATCCACTTTTAATCCGAAATTATATTATTCACAATACCACCCCATTCTTTCTTAATTTGCTTCTTCATCCAATCGGCTGCATCCAATATACTGAAAACACTGTCTCTGAAGTCCAAGAAATGAACGAGGGTAAGGTTAGAGAAAATAGTTTAAAAAAAAGAAGATAAGGGATGAAAAAATAAAGCAAAGCACCACCACACAGAGTCTACTACAAAATTACTTCGGAAGATTACCTCTTACGATCCGGCGAATCTTCTCCGGTAGACATCGAGCTACCCCGTTGCAGAAAACCCTTTTTGCAACTTTTATCATGACTGTGCCAGGAACCCCTTCTCTTGGTGCTGTTCGCCTGTTCCAGGCTGCGTTCCAGGTTGGCAATGTTTTGCTCTATGTCAATGAGCATCTGTTGCTCGTCCTCCATGATTTCAGTGGGCGCATAAGAGCTGCAGCTTCCGTCGGGTGGATTATAGCGCACTTCGAAAGACACGACGGTCTGATAAAAAATGAAAAAAAAATTTTGTGAATAAAAAAAATTATTATCAATTATCCGAGATAACAATTCTTTCGAAATTTTCCAATTAGTCCCGTGTCAAAGTTTCCCTTGGAGAATTTTTCTTTTTTTTTTCTTACAAGAGAAAATTCCCTTTTTTTCCTCCCTCACCTTCGTATCATCCCTTGTATAACAACCCCTTTCACTCTTCGCGCCCGTTATCACTTACTGGCTCACGTCTGGCATGAAAAATCATACCCTTTTTGTTATCAGTTTTTTGGAATTCATCTCGCGAGATTCTCAACAATCTGTTGAGCTAGTCTCATGTTTCATTTATGTGCGAACAAAAACGTGGAGACAAGGAAAGTAAAATATATATATATACTATATATACATTGTGACGTAATTTTTCGATTCACGGCCGCAAGGCGACTCCGGCTGCCGTTAGAGATAACGTTCTCGATTTCTGGTTCCCTTCGGGTCGCCATCCTACTCAGAAGCTACGCTCTCGGGTTGATTCGTATAGTTACGCCAATGCTCTCGTAAGATTTCGTTATTGTTTAGTTGAGGTCGAGGTGCTCGAATCTGCCGTGGGGAGATAGTCTCGACGTACCGAGTTGCCCGGCAGAGGAGAGTACCCGACGGAGACGTCTCCACGGACCGGCAGAAGCCCGGGTGAGATACCGGCGCCCCGCTGGAGATGGGCAAAGGGCTGTAGAGCGGGCGGAGGTAGTTTTGATACGGTTACAGGCAGAGGAGGAACCCCCTGACCCGAGTTGAGGACGTGGTGCCCAGCTGTCGCCCGATG